ATTCTGAAGAGGGGAAAAAAAAAAGATGGTTTGCTTATTTGCCTGGTGTTACAGCACGGGTTCCGAGGCCCAAGCACCAGTCCAGGTAGCGGTAAGTTCATGGGAACAAGGAGAAACAGTCCCACCACGACGACAGCTCCCATCGACTCTGAGGAGCAGGCCTCAGGATGGAGTGTCCGCGTTATATATTCAGCCTCCTGATGAGTCGGTGAAACTCCGAAGAAACAATTTGGCACAGCCCCTCGTTTGTTGTCCTCTTCTCCCTCTCTCCCTACGGTTTACCGGGCACCTCTGTTTGAACGACATATATATATATATATATATGGGTTAATAGCAAAAATATTGCTCCTTTCCAAGTTTGACAGCAAAAATGTCGTCCGTTCGAAGTTTCCTTTGCAAAAATAGAGGTTTCGTTGCAGCTTTATCGGGTTCCCATAGTTTGCCAGCAAAAATACCGCGTTTTGCTCAGTTTCACAGCAAAGGACCCCTAGGCCCCTGGCCTCAGGGACTCAGGCACTCAGCGTTCCGGCCTCAGGGACTCAGCGTTGTGTTTTTTTTTTTTTTCCCTTTTTTTCCCTCGAGCATGGCCGACGCATCTGGGCGTGCCCACGGCCGAGACGCCTCGGCCACGGCCGCAAAAAAAAAAACAAAAAAACAAGAAACGTGGCCGAGGCATCTCGGGCGTGGCCACGGCCGAGATGCCTCGGCCACGCCCGCGAAAAAAAAAAAAAAAAAAAAAGAGCTGAGTGCCTGAGGCCGGAACGCTGAGTCCCTGAGTCACTGAGCCCAGGGGCCTAGGGGTCCTTTGCTGTGAAACTGGGCAAAACGCGGTATTTTTGCTGGCAAACAACGGGAACCCGATATAAAGCTGGAACGAAACCTCTATTTATTTTTGCAAAGGAAACTTCGAACGGACGACATTTTTGCTGCCAAACTTCGAAACAGCAATATTTTTGAAATTAACCCAAAAAATAAAAAATAATCTTACCATGCATTGGCGGAAGATTCATTCCTGGGGAAACGAGCAGCAGGTGGGTCAGCTAGGGTGTGTGTGTGCCGTGTGTGTGTGTGTGTGTGAGAGACAGAGAGAGCGAGAGAGACGTCTCTCTCTCTCTCTCTCTCTCACACACACACACACATACTCACACACACACACACACACACACACACACCTGATGAGTCGGTGAAAGCCCGAAGAAACAGTCTGTGGAACAGTGATGCTTCTTTGAGTATAGCGAATATGACGACCCACAGCAACGTCGTGATGAGTCGGCGAAAGTCCGTGGAAACAGTCTGCCACTTTTGTGTTTTTTTTTAGTGCATAGCGGATAAGACAACACACACACAGCGCGGAGACTCCGTGCAAAATGAAAATGAATCTTCTCTATTACGAGGCAAGATTCAGTCTCCTTTTGCACAACGGCGCACGTTCCGTAAACCCACGAAGGAGAATCAATCTCCTGCTATTTAGGGCCTCGCCACACCAATGTAGAAACATCACCAAATTCGACATATGTCAGGAGATTTTCGACATTCCCTCTTTCGACAGAAAACCCCTCTTCGCCACACCGCATGTCCAAGTGAAGAACTCACGAGTCGTATGCACAAAAGAGACAAACTGGGGTGAAGATAGGACAAGCGTTGGTGCCTTCTCTTTTTCGACATTCGGGCAAGAATTCGACATCCCATCCGAGGACTGTTGAAAATGTGCGAGTTGCAGGCTGGGAAAAGAGCCCGTCTCGAGAGGAGGTGTCGAAACCCTTTCCCTGACAGCTCCTGCATTTTTTTTGCATCTCGGGTTTCGACATGCTGTGTGGCGAGGAGAAAATGTCGAAAATTCAGTTTTCGACATTGGTGTGGCGAGGCCCTTAGGGGAAAGATTCCATCTCTCTCTCTCTCTCTCTCTCTCTCTCTCTCTCTCTCTGTGTGTGTGTGTGTGTGTGTGTGTTTGCGTGTGTGTGCACGTGCGCGCGTGCCAGCTCTGTCTCTCTGTCTTACGAACCCGGCCCCGCGGCAGACTGTGGAGCGCAAGCTACCGGGCAGACTGTGGACCACAGGCTTTTTCACGCTCCCACGGGCCTGTGCCAGGGCCTCTACTGGGCCCTCCGACGTGGGTGACTGGAATGCTTTTTCAAACTTCGCTGCGCGACCTTTCTGCTTAGTCTAGTTTGGACTGCATTTTTAACTTCGGTCCTGACTAGACTGCAGAAAGCGAGTTTGGAGTGCATTTTACAACTCTAACCCTGACCGCGCCCTAGTTTTCTCTCTATTCTATTCTCTGATGGTTTTCCCTGCGCAACCAGTGCTTGGGCTGTTCTATTCTATTCCTTTGTGTCAATAAAAATAAAAATGACTGAAAGCAGAGCTGTGGGATTTCAGGACAGTGCCTGCACAGAAGGTGGGTCATGGTCGCAGTATCTGTTTGTCCGGCGTGTGGTTTGTGGAGGGATTCCCAGCCTCCCCCTTTTGTGTGGCAATATAAATGTGCTTTTTCTTGGGTCCCCCTCCACTGCTCGACGTTCCACATGTATCTGGACTGTCGGCTTGCATATATACATTTGGAGCAGACCAACATTTGGAATGCATCTGGACCACCTCGAGATCCAGATGCATTTTTTATAGACTGTTTAAGGAGTGAGGGCCCTGCTTTCATTTTTCTGAAATGGAAGCCCCCACGAAAGTGTAACTGTGAGTACATCCAGGAAAGCCCAGGGTATAATAATCAACAGTCTTATGCCCTCTTTTCTTTTTTTTGTCAGTACTATGCCCTTCAGCGAGAAGTCTTCTATCTATATATCTATCAGTATTATGGCCTTCAGGTCTTTTTTTATCCGTTCTATCTTGTGTGGAGGGGAAACATCCCTTAAAAGTGGAACGATCACCGACGGGCCTTGCTCAGTTGGTACACTCATGAACTATTGAAATGCAGACCCCGTTTGAATCCAGACGCTATTAGATGAACAGAATATGGGCCTCGCTGCACTACTCTCCAAATGTGCAAAATGAGACTGTATCCACCCCTATAACATGGAAAGATACAATGTCATCTATTTTGTCCTTTGTGCATGTGGAGAGTAGTGCAGCGAGGCCCCATAACAATTCGATCTCCTGAACGGTGGTAAGTAACTACTTTGGGCTGGTCAGCTCAGTAACAATACGATCTCCTGAACGGTGGTAAATAACTACAGTCCTCACCCGCAAAAATACGCCCGGGCGTTATATTAAACTTTCCCCAATGAAGCGAGATTTTTCTTTATAGGGTCTCGCTCCACTACTCTAGACTCCAGAAAAATTTCTAGAGTTGATCTAGAGTTGTCAGATGCCAGAGTAGCATGAATTTGGAGTCATCGCTCCACTAACTCCAGATGACCTGACTCTAGAAAGAAAAGAGAAGCATTTTTCTTTTTTTTTGTTTTCTTGTTTTTCGAAAAAGAAGAAGAGACAGAGCCTAATGTCGTCACCGTAGCAGTGGCTGTCCGTCCAGACACTAGGCCGACTCTAGATTTTCAAGCTGCACCAAGGGTCCTCGTGAGGACTCTTGAAAAATGGGCCGTGGCAGGCAGGCACTCTAGATCTTTCTTGAGTGCACATCCATGGGTCCGTCTGACAGCTCTAGAAAACTGTTTTCTTGAGTGGATTTCTAGAGTAAGTGGAGCGATGCTTTACTGTAGAGGTTTCATGAGTATTTTCTGACAACTCTAGAACGAAATTTGGAGGTTTGATTTCTAGAGTAAGTGGAGCGATACTTTACTCTAGAATTTTCTTGAGTCTAGAGTAGTGGAGCGAGACCCATACTCACTGTTTTTCGGATATTACGCCCGTGTGTTATATTGGAATAGAGCGCCCGGGCGTTTTATTTGGATATGCTATGGGCAGAGTGCCTGCATTGTCAACGGAGTATACAAGGGGAGAAAGGGGTATACACAAGTTTTAAAGGGGGTTCAAAGGTGTTTTGACTTCCCAGGGATATGTAAGTGTTTGTTTTGGTTTGATTTTTTGTTCTTTTTTTTCCCGAATTTGTAAGAAATTATACAGTCAGAATGTCGGGATTCGGGTTAGTGACGCCGTAATACCGATCCACGTTTTGGCGCCTCATCCAGTCCTCTTTGCCAACGGGACGTCGCCCGCCGAATCTCGGCACTTCAGACAGGAATTCAATCTGATAAAGTGCTCCGACGAGCAGGTGCGGGGAAGCTGCGCTGGTACACCCGGTAGCTCCTGAAATACAGCCCGGAGCTCGAATCCAGACGCAAGCAGATGAACAGAATAAAATAGTTGTGACATCGACCCTGATGGGCGTAACAGCGGCGGGGACGACGGATTCCGCTCGGCAATGCCCATTGCCCAGGAATGCGATCGGCGGACATGGCATTGCGATCGGTCATCCCCGGTCCTGCGGAGAGAGAAAAGACGTTGCGTTTCGGCGGCGACGGGCGGGATTCCGGTCGGCGGACATGGCATTCCGATCGGTCATCCCCGGTCCTGCGCTTTGCTGCGCGGCGGCCATTTGTCACTTATTGAGGTCCTAGCGATGGCGGCGCAACAGTTTCAGAAAGGAAGTAAGGAAACGATGTGGAGCGTGTGGAGGACGTCCTCTTGATTTGTGGATGAGAAAGTGGAAAAGCCCTTCATTTGCGCCTCATTGCTAAATGAGCCTAGCAAAGGCATTAGTTCGGGTAGAATTGGAGGAAGGTATGTCGTTTCATCGTCTCTACGAGGTAGGGATTGTCTACCGCGGTCGTCTTAGTTAGATACCTAGAAAGCTCTCTCGAGCAGGGGATGCTCGTTCTGCCGCCCATATCTGCTTCGCTGGCTCTCCGTGTGCGCTTGTGTGTGTGCGTGCACGTCTGTGTGCGAGTATACGTAGATCTAGAGATCCATTCTCAGAAATAGATTCAGAGAGAGAGAGAGAGAGAGAGAGAGAGAGAGAGAGAGAGATGGGGGGGGGAATTGTGTTGTGTAAGAGGAGGACAGTATCGTTATTTTGTCTCGAGTAATAAAGTGGATGTGCAAGAAGAGAGAGAGAGAGAGAGAGAGAGAGGGAGAGAGAGAGAGAGAGAGAGAGAGAGAGAGAGAGAGAGAGAGAGAGAGAGAGAGATGGATGTGGAGGTGGAGGTGGCGGTAGGGAGGGCGGGGCGGATGACGAGCTCAGTAGGACAGAGGAAAGCGGCTTTGCAGTCGTCATTCCTGGTGCAAGCGAACGCACTGACTCGTAAGAACCTGCGTCTTCAAGCTCGGCAATGGAAGACGAACGCCTGTCTTGTGTCTTTTCCCATCATCCTCTTTCTGATCTTGATTGCCTTACAAGCGGTGTTTGACAAGTTGCTCTTCGGTGGCTCCGCCTGGAAATGCGGTTGCAGCAAAGATAATCCAGACAAATGCGGGATCGAATTTTCCACCGCTCAGCAAGCCGCTTGGTGCCCAGTCAAGAACCCTCCTCTTAATCCCGCCTTTTTGCAAATGCCCAATGTCACAGCCGGCATGGCGATGGATCCCTTGGCTACGATCGTTCCAGTGACAGGGAACAACCGGTCTATGGTAGAAGCCATCGGCAGGCAGCTCTTCGACAATCCGGAGGGTGGAAATCACCTCCTCCTTGCCTCCTATTGGAGCGAGGAGAGCGCGGTGGAACAAGCCTTGCTCTCTATTCTTCCCATCTCTCCTAACGGAACGACCCCCACTGGTCACATACCGTTAATATCTGGAACAGCCAAATTTCCGACCCTCGGCGCACCCCTCGTTGACCCCGCTTTCACCGGAGATGATGCTGAATGGGACCCTCTTTTCTTAATTAGCAATTCCTGTCTGGCCTTCTCCGCCGCCGCCGGCGGATCCAGCGGGGCTGTAGCCTCGATATCGTCGCCAGCGATGAGTAGCAGTGATAGCTCCACTAGTAGTAGTACTGATAATAAGGGGTGGGTGCTTCGCCCGGCGAGTTTTGGCGGGAACGATTTTGGCGGGAAGGTTTCGGCGGGAAGTTTCGTTCATTCGGGTTCGAAGCTGCGCTTTCTGGTAGCCTGTTACGAGGCCAGGGCTACTTACTTCCCGCCCAATTTCGAACTTGATTTTCTTGGAATGGTGTTTTCAGGGGGTCGTGATGCGCTCAAGACGACCAAGGGGTTTAATAGCACAGTCGAGGCTTTCTTATATAATAGGTACTTCGCTGCTAGACCTAGTAATCAGGAGTTGAAGAGGGGCGGGAAAGAGTATGTTCCTGGCGTTGTCGCCGCATTCGATTTCAAGGATTCCAATCCGAGTCGTCTCGATCTCAATGTATGGTATAACAGAACATACGCCAAGTCTATTGGAAGACAGCCGGACCATACTCTTCGAATCGCTCGGTCTTTTAATCTGGCCACGAAGGCCTTCTTCTCCTGGGTTATGGGAGGAGGAGGTAACAACAACGGCAGCGACAATGTAAGTGAGAGTCTGCTTCCGCTTTTGTATGTCAAGGAGTTCCCTAAGGTAGGCACGAGCGTGCAGCTTGATGTTAGCTCCTTCTTTGGTCCTTTCCTCTTCGTCTGGGTCTTGGGTCTTGTTCTTCCTGTCGTTTGCAACAGCCTCGTGTATGAGAAGGAGGTCCGTCTGCGGTCCATGATGAAAATGCACGGCCTTAGCGATGGCGCGTACTGGGCCATAACTTATCTCTACTTCCTCGCGCTTTCCGTCGTTTACATGTTGTTTTTCGTTGGGGTAGGCGCCGCCATTCGGCTCAAAATTTTCACCCTTAACGATGCGTCCATTATACTCGTCTTCTTGTTCATATTTTTCAACAATCTGATTGCCTTTGGTTTCCTCTGGAGCGCCATCTTCACCTCCACGAAGACGATCACCGTCTCCGCTTACCTGTACGTCTTTGGCTCTGGATTGCTGGCTGAGTTTCTCTTCAGGTTCTTTCTGCGGACCCCATCGACGTCAAGGGGATTGATTTTTGCCTTCGAGCTTGTGCCGGCTTTCGCGCTCTTTCGAGGCCTCTACGAGTTTGCTAATTACTCGTATGAAGGTAATTACCAATCGACGACGGGGATGAGATGGAGCAATCTGTCGGATGGCAAGAACGGCTTGACTGACATGATGGCCATCTTGGCGACGGAGTGGATTATCTTCCTCCTGCTCGCGCTGTACGTCGATCAGATCATAGATACCGGAGTCGGTGTGACTCGACATCCGCTCTTCTTCCTTGATTGGCGTTTGGGCGGGAAGAGAGGCAAGAAGCGGGGGGGAGGAGAGAGAAAGGAGGAGCTGGAGCTGCCCACTGCAAGCAGACCGGGGAAGAGAGGAGATGGTCGGGGAGTACCGAGCAGCTGCGAGGCGATTGGCGAGGAGGATGTGGCGGCGGAGAAGCAGACAGCGAAAGCCGCTTTGCAGGCGGTCATGGAAGGAGAAAGCGGAGGGCGAGAGGGGAGGCGGTCTCCCTCCTCGACATTTTCGATAGTGTGTGACGAGCTGCAGAAGGTGTATAGGGGTCTCGACGGCAATCCCGACAAATTGGCGGTGAAGGGCATGTCGCTTGCTGTCCCAAGAGGGGAGTGCTTTGGCATGCTGGGTCCTAATGGCGCCGGCAAGACGACTAGCATCAACATGATGGTAGGCTTTCTGGAGCCAACCTCGGGAACGGCGCTAATCGAGGGAATGGATATTCGCACGGAAATGGGCTCGATTCATTCGATCATGGGCGTGTGTCCTCAGCACAATCTGCTATGGGACACTCTGACCGGAAGAGAGCACCTGCTGTTTTACGGCAGACTGAAGAACCTGAAAGGGGAGGAACTGGAGCGGGAGGTGGAGATGTGGCTGCGGAAGATGAACCTCTACGATGGAGCAGTCCTTGCCAAGCCTGTCCGCGCCTACAGCGGCGGGATGAAGCGGAGACTGAGTGTCGCCATCTCGCTAATCGGCAATCCCCTGGTGGTGTACATGGATGAGCCGAGCACGGGACTCGATCCCGCGTCGAGGAACAATCTGTGGAAGGTGATGAAGGAGGCCAAGAAAGACCGGGCTATCATCTTGACCACTCATTCCATGGAGGAAGCCGAAGCGCTGTGCGATCGCCTCGGCATTTTCGTTGACGGCCAGTTCGCGTGCATCGGCAATCCCAAGGAGCTCACGGCTCGCTATGGCGGCACGTACGATCTGACGATGACGAGCGCGGCGGGGGAGGAGTCGGTCGTCGAGGCACTCGCTCTCTCTCTCTCTGCGCGTGCCAAGAAAGTGTACTCCCTAGGAGGGACGCAGAAATTCGAGTTGCCCTCGTCGGATGTGGACCTGGCCGACGTCTTCGACGCCGTGGATAGAGCGAAGACCGAGATGAATATCCAGGCCTGGGGTATAGCGAACACCACCTTAGAGGATGTCTTCATCAAAGTGGCGGAGAGGAAGGAGAGTGAAACTCTCCATTAGGAGAAGCCCTCTCTCTCTCTCTTCCAAGAAGCTCTCCCTCTCTCTCTCTCCCTCTCTCTCTCTCTCTCTCTCTCACACACACACACACACACACACACACACACACGCGCACACACACACACACACACGCGAGTCGGTGAAAGTCCGACGAAACAGTCTGGCACAGTCATGCTTTTTTCGAGTGTATAGCGAATATGACAACACGCACGCACACACACACACACACACACAGAAACATAATATGCTTCTGTGCTGTGTCGGAGGCCGATAATTTCCTTAATGACGATTTTGTTTTCAGGTTGCTTTCCCCTTAAATTTATTTATTTGTTTATTGATTAAATTTTGATCTGCTAATAGAAACTATGGCTGTGTCACACCTTTAGTTTGACATAGGCAAGAAAAGACAGAGTGGGGCTGTAGTCATGTCGTGAGTTTGAAAATGTGCAAGTTTAGTAGAGGATGATGGGTCTCGCTCCACTACTCTCGACTCACGAAAAGTTTCGTGAGTCCTAGAGCTGTCAGACGTGCAAAACTCTCGAAAAAAAAGTCTTGGCTCCACTTACTCTAGACGGGTTGGCTCGAGATGCAGTGGCGGAATGAGACGAGCTCTCTGACTGCACTAAAAGACAGCGCCGCCCTGTTCTGATGGTCGGGACACGAGGCGCACTCACGAAAAAAAATGGTCGGAGCGGGGGTACGAGGGAGGACACTGGAAAAGCATGTCGTCGAAGACTGGGCACTCTAGACACTTCGAGAGTGCCCTTCGAGAGTGCTTTCTGACAGTTCTCGAAGGGCGTTTTCGATAGCACCTATCTAGAGTGAGTGGAGCGAGGTCTTACTCTCGAAATTTCGAGAGTATAGAGTAGTGGAGCGAGGCCCAATGTCTAAGGGTCTGATCCCACCACTGCACTATGACTGTAGTCGCCAAAAAGCACTACAAAGATGTCAGTGGCGGGGCGAAAAAGACAAATTGGACCCCACCAGGGCGACTTCTTCGGTGGTTGTCCTAACCCGGGGAGGTTCTTTGTGGGCTGTTGCAGAGGGCGGACGTTTTCGTGGTACGGGTTGTGGCGCTCTTGGGGGCAAACAGACATTCGGGATGCTGCAAACGGACAAACAAGAAAAAAATCAATAAATAAAAATTGCTCCCTCTTTTTTTCTGCCGAGAAGCCCTCACGGTCTACAGAAAAATTGTAGTAACTACGTTTGCGCCCTTCCCGGATGTGCTGCCACGACACACCCAAACGAAAGTAAGGCAAAATGTTTCGGTGGCCGCGATGGCGTAGGAAAGTGGTGGGATCTGAAACTACAGTGTAACTGGGCTGTAGTGTAGTGATGGGATCAGACCCTAAGGATTGCCTCTTTTGCCATTTCTTCGGAAAGGCTAAAGCTTCCCTTTCTGAACATGGGGTGTGACCTGGAAGTGCTTGAGCCTCTCCGGAAAGTTAGGTGACTCGGTACAGGGCCCCTCCGGGAGCAGCATGGGACAATTTTCTTTTCTACCGGCCCTCCGCGACGGCCCATCCTGAGCTAATTTTATGAGAGGCTCAACTTGACTTTTGAACTTGGCTGGGGTCTCTGCCTCTTATTTTTGCCTGTACTATTTGTGAGTCAGAAGATATCCCCCTTGGAGGAAGCAAGTGCAGAATAGGACTAGCATGCCCATTGACATCCTCTGGCATAGTCCAGACTGATTGCTGATAGTTCACTTGCCATACAAACTATGGCAAGTGAACTATGCCCAGGCCAATGGCCTGACTCTCCACATGTCAAACGCTTTCCGTTTGGTGCCTGATTAGTAGAAGAGGGTCCGGCTGTGACGCCCAACCTCACGCCCAGCGCGACTCCCTGATCAGAGTGGGATGGGGGCCTGGAAGTGCGAAAGAGGGGTGTGCCAAGGATTTTAGGAAATTGTAGTGTAGTTCCAGGTCGGAACTGGGATCTCCTGTGGCCAGTGCAAGGGTAATTGAGCAAGAGGGTAGTCCCGAGTTGCATCGGTAGCTTGGGCTTCGGGACACAGGGCTACTGTTGGTGTGAGTACCGGCGTCGTGGTCGGTCTTGGATCTGATGGACCTTCGGGACGCTATGGGTGTCGCGCTGGCTGATTAGCCATCAGCGTCGCTCGTAGCAGACTTCGGAGTCAGACGAGGCTGGTCTCAGTCGGAGACTGTGCGATCGTTGGTCCACCTCAGTTCGGGTCCGGCGGACGAATCCCGCCATGCGGTGAGTACGATCCTGTTGGCACTCCGAGCACGGGGTCCACGTCGAGTAAGGGCCGATCGTGCACCAGGGGACCGCTTTTAGACAGTGAAAGGGGATTACAATGCGGTGGGGAGGATAATTGGTTTCGATGATGGCAATTCCTGGTTCGGCAATGACGTGTCGTGCGTGCAAGTGGGGAAATCGGGTGTGGGAGGGGAATCGCGTTTAAGGCCCGATCAATATCCCATTCGCATGCAAGCTCTATTCCCTCGTAGAAAGGGAACTCGGGGAGGTGGGAACGGGGTCGCGCGGTTTGATAGGCACACTCCCGTTCCCAACATTCCCGGAATCGTTGATGCCTAAGACTCTCACGGTTTGTGACGTAGAAGGGAATCTCAACGTCCATACCCCAAAAAAAAAGGTTGATTTCATCATAGGCCCTCGGGGGCGAGTCCAGTGGACACGCGTGGAAGTCGCGTCTTTGCGATCGTACTTACACGCCGGTGTGTGAGACTCGCTTCCCGTTGATGGGTCGTTTCAGGTGCCCCCGTGGTTCCCCAAAGGTTCGTCATGCAACTGCCAGATCAAAAAGAAAGACAAATTCCGGGCATAACATAAGGCAATCTCTTAGCAAGCCAGCCATTCATGCATAGATAAGTTGTGAAGAGTTCATCATCTAGCCAATCCATTCAGAGCAACCAAAAAGACTAATTAGTTTCCCATCCTCGCAAATTCCTTCCAGAGTACTGCGCAACTCTTTGGTGATCAGGTTTCTTGTGAGATCGTGGAACATTCATTCATCGGACCCTCACTCATTCATGAAAAGACGACGCGCATCCCCATTGGTCAGACACACTCTCCAAGATTGACACTCGCATCCAACAAACTGAGGCATTCAACCCACACATCTCAACAAGGAAGGAGAAAGGAGAATAGAGTTGCACACCAAGCGACACCATCGCAGAAAATCGAAGACAAGAAAGATGGTTTTCGCCTGAGAACAAAATTTTATACAAGGAAAAGAAAAGAAAGGTCACGAACCCACGCTCGTTTGTTCCTCTCTCTCTCTCTCTCTCTCTCTCTCTCTCTCTCTCTCTCTCTCTCTCTCTCTCTCTCTCTCTCTCTCTCTCTCT